ATAGCTGTTTTTGTGATTTAGTGCTATATAAATCAAATTTAATTGAATTGAATCTAAGTGTTTTTGTATCTGTATATTGGCAAATCCTTAGAGTTTTTCTGTGACATTCAAGAAGTTACGAAGAAGTCTGAACATGTGTTGGAAGTATGACTTAAAAATGCCCATAATATGTCAGAGAGGACATTCCAGGAGATCTGTTTAAGTTCTTTGAGAAATGTTAAACACTGATAACATTTTGGATAAGTTCATCTAACCGTGTCTGCAGTGTGAAAACTAACCCAGCAGGTATTTTGGTCTGATTGTAACACGAATGCAGGGAAACCTAACTGAGCTGGAGGCAGAGGAAACCCCTGTCCATTCCTTCTGGACCCTTTTGCTTTCATATTTGCATCTGAACCTACACAAACCTGGCGGAAAGCGCACAACGAGGGGAGTGGCGGTTAAATAGAGGAGAGGCGCTGGGAAGCCCGTTAAGCTTCAACCTGACTCACACACGGGTGAGTCATTAACCGAGTCATCTCCCTCCCTTCCCTTACCCCTCCCAGACTCAGTGATCCAACCCCCGGCCCTGCTCTCCCCATCTCCACAAGCGTCACATTCAGCCTCGCCATGTCTCCACCGCCTCACTGGTGCCTTAGTGACCCCTCACATCAAAAAGAAGCTGACCCCTCAGACAGTCCGGTCACATTAGCTGAGCAGCTTAAGACCGTCTGACCTTGTGAATAAGAATATTCATCAAGGCCAGAGCCGCTCTGGACTTTGATCCGTCAACACGAGGACGAGGCCCGGGTGTTTATGTGTGTACACAGAGGCACGCTGTTGTGGGTCATTGTGGAGGAATCACATGTTTCTTTCCTCACAAACAGAGACCGGATAAATGGCTGCTTCTGTTAGGAGTGGTTATTACCAGGGACACTGGTAATAACACAAGCGATTCCACAACTGGGATCATTTAAGGCTAAAGCAGAGCTCACTTTATTGTCAGGACTAAATGAAATCAAGATTAATCACAATGCGTCTTGTCGTATTGTCCTATTGAAAGACTGACCGATAGCTTGAAACGTTTTAAACATGGCTTCATATGTTTTGAACATTCTTTTGCGCTTCTTTTTCTTAGACTGAAAACAGTAAATGATGTGCGGTAGATCTTGTAATTGTAATAATCAGCTGTCTATCAGCTGTCTGAGCTTTGACGGCCATATATCTCCATTTTATAGAAAACTAAGAATGCATATCAGTCGGTGAATGTAAATGCAGCCACTAGAGCCATGATCACGGAAGCCATTTTGTGTGGAAACAGACGTTGTTGTAAGGGCAACTTTCAGCTATTGTAATTTAATACCAGTGGTAGATGATGGAAAAAGACCTAAATATTCAACATTCTACTTCCAACAAGGAACTGTGCTCACCTCAGTCTTTTTTTCTTCTTGGAAATGTGTGGACTGTACTAACTAGTACATGTGAAGCAGGAAAGCCATACGTTTACGCCACTCTGCCAACAGTCCATAGATCAATGAGCAACTCCCACTGTAATATATCAGAAGCTTTCTGACACACGGACATGTTTGTTCTTTTCTTTCCATTCTGCAGCATATAGATTTTTGCATGATGTTCAATGGATGTTTTCTGTTTACAATGAATTCCTTGTGTCTTATTTTCATTTAGCTTTTCTAGTTTGTCTGTCTGTATAACCTTAGGAACGTTTTAAAGCTCACTTTGCTCATTTTCTATTTAAGTCGTTACTCTAAGCCTCTGTGTGTTTACTTTGTACCTCACCATTCACATCTCTTCTTTCCCTCAAGCCAGTTTCTTCTGGAAAACACACACATTATGGGCCCTTAGACTTTGTCATCTCATCACACATTTGCTCACTGAGCTGCCGTATCTCAGGAGGAATGTTGTTGGGTCCACTGGCAGCTTCTCCGTGGCAACCATCTTCTCCATCAGTGCATGAGTGTGTATAGAAGGCACCCTCAGTCACATGGTTCAAGACCTGGTGTGCGTGTAAATGAAGGGAAAGGGCTACGAGTAGTCCGCTACACTAGAAAGGTGCTATGCAAGTAGAGTCTGTTGCCAACGGGAACAGACCTGATCCTATCTGCACCTCAACAGTCATGGTTACCGGCGAATCGGAATTCTTGTTGAGGTTTCAAGTACCTTAGCAAGCAAACAAACAATCAGCCTGCCTGCCTTTGCTATGAACTCAGTTCCTTCTAAGTATCTTCTACTGTGCTACCACAGAATGTTCTCAGCTTTTCCTCTGCACACCAGCCTGAACCTGCTTCTATGGGTGGTAGGCCAAGCGGTATCCGGTAGGGATGGGAATCTTCACCACCAAGGCGATACGATACACATCTCGATACACAGCCAACGATTCGATAAATTTACGATTCATGGAATTTCTAGTGATAAGATTCGATACGATTCTCCAACCTCCTGCGATCCGGTGCGATACAGAACGATCTAAATTTAAAATGCTGCGATACAGTGCGATACGATACGATACGATACGATGCGATGCAATGCAGAAGAAAAGTACACCATGGACTACATAGTTCAAGTTATGGCACGCAAGCTAACTGTGCCTTTTATTTTTAAACAAAGGAAGTGCAACTTAGAGAGTGATTGTCTTACAAGTGTAAGTGTAGTGTAGTGCATGTTGTCCAACAATTAAAGCAAAGGCACAAAGGCACATTTTCCAGTTAAGCCTTTAAAAAAGTGCTTGAAGTTTATACATGAGGTAAAACAAATAAAATGCCCTTATACAAAAGGTGCAGGCCAGGATATTCCTTCTATTATAAAAACTAAAAGAAAAACTTAACACAGGGACACATTGCATTTTCCCCAAAATATACAATGCACACCATTGACATGTACACCCCATTTGAAAAGCAACATTTTGAACAATATTCTAATAGGCACACAAGTAATTTCCAAAATGTGCATAGGTAAAAATGGTATGTCCAAAATGTGCATACAATATCTGAAGAGCAAACTAAGGTTAATAATCTAACTGAAATGTTATTTTCCATTTACTCAGTGCACATTTTGAAAATAACATGTCTACTTATTGAAATATAGTTCAAAATGTTACATTTCAAAAGGGGTATACTTATTACCTCTGTGCCTCTGTAAAATGATTAATCATTCTGAACAAATGATCATAACAAGGGAGTAACAGTTCCCCATATGGAAATTAAGACAAGTGAATCCCAACATTTAACCCAGATGGGTCTTTTTCAAATTCTTTTTAAGAAAGATCAATTGATCAACATGGTCAGGGTGCAGGAGACTACGTTGGGCAGTGACAATATTCCCTGCACTGCTAAAGACACGCTCAGAGCTCACACTAGTTGCTGGAATGGACAAGTAATCCTTAATAATAGTAATAGTAATCCTTAGCTTCAGATGTTGCGACATATTTGTTGTGCTGCCTGTATATCGTACCTCTGTTCTGCAGTGTTTACATATGGCCATTGTCTTGTCCAACTCTCCATCTCGCTTGTAGAATCCAAAGTCTTTCCATACCGTTGACCTAAAGCGCGTAACCGAATATATCATCTTTGTTTTGTTTTCCTCCATCCTAACGTGGTTTCTAGCTTGCCGCCTCTGTCCTCTTCGAAAGCGAGTTTAGACCGTCCTACTCGCGCGAGGCTTGGGGCGAGACTTGAGTGGCAGAGAGACTAGCATGCACGCAGTAGGCAGGCAACAGGGATGTAAAGAAACGCAACTAAAACTCAGACACGTTTCTAAAAAGTTATAATACTAGAAGATAATAATCGGTTTGTATCGATGCAGGTAGTTTCGATACGATGCATCTCGAGTTTATGTGCGGTTTTTACCGATGCAGACGTTTGCAAATCGATTCAACCGTATCGCACAGGTCGTTCCGATATTCCGATACGCATCGGTGAATCTTGCCATGCCTAGTATCCGGTGATTTCCGGAAGTGTTCTTGAGCCCACTCAGTGATTTAAGTCAAGAATCAGGTGTGTATCAAAGGCATGATGTCACACAGACATCCAGGACTGATGCTCTATTGTGTCCCCTGCATATCTTATAGTTTTCAGGTTTTACTTAATATGTTCTTCCATGCCCTAAGTTCATTGTATTAAAGTTAAACTCGTCACATATATTCTAAACTCATTTATGAATACATGCTTCATGGAGTTTAATCAAGTCCACCAAAATCCTTCAACAAGACCAAGAACCCGTGTCTGTGTGCATCTGGAACTCACTGTAAGCTTGAGGAGTTGCAATATTTAAGTCTGTTTTTGGGTTTGTCAATTCCTTTAGGTTACATCTGAGTAAAGAGGGGGTCTCTATTAATTCTAGCTGGCTCCATCAGCTCAAAGCAGACAGCCATAAAGAGTCAGAGGTGCAGGCCGGTGCAGCCCGAGGCCTGACAGACAAATGGCCGGGTCCAGGGACAAGTCTCAAACATTGACGAGGGTCCATAAAACCCCTCGGGAAAGCTGGTAATGTCTAACTAGGGGCAGGGCCGTCGGTGTGTTTAGCAGGGCCACATGGGGAGCGTGAGCGTGCGTGTGTGTGTGTTGGAGTTTATGTGTTTGTTTGAAATCGGTTCACAGGGGGGGCATGGTGCTGGCGGCATTCCAGAAGAATGGTATCTCTTCCCCCCGGGGGTCTGAACACGGGGTTCAGACACAGGGCATCTACTAGGCGTCCAGGGCAGGGACACAAATGGCACAAAAACACATTGTCCATCATAAACACACACACACGGTGAGGCTGGATGGCCGTCTGAGTGTCCCCTTGAAGTGTCACGGGGACTGGACTTGACATGTTGGTCATACTTTAGCGGAATCGGTCAGGATAAGGATCTAGAGCAGAGATCCAGGCAGCCTTTAGCCATGATGTGGCCTTATATGTGGCCTCTTACGGTGTCAGGGGCCCCCGGTCAGGCTGGCCCCTGTGCCCCCCACCCCCCCACCCCACTCCCTCGGCCTGAGGATATATGGACTAGTGTCAGAGACAGGTCACTGGAAGGGGGGGAGAGGGATGAAAGAAAGCTGGAAAGTGAAGAGACGGGGACAGAGCAGCAGCTGAGAAGAGAAGTGGCATTGTGAGGGAGACGGACTTCGGATTGAAGACTTGATTTGTGCTCTCCGAAGGGGGGAAATAACTGACACACATGCGTGCACAGAGACCACCCCCCCCCCTCTCTCTCTCTGACTTACAGTCCACATGTTGACGAGGCGGCGGCAGAGGAACGGATCCAGACTCCAGTGGATGTTTGGCAGACAGGTGATGTAGAAGATCTCGTGACCCAGGCCGGCGGAGAGCAGGAAGAGGAGGTGCAGCGGCCAGTTCCTCACCTCGTAGCCAGGCTGACCGCAGGCCTGCGGGGGACGAGGGAGAAGCAACATTAACCTTCATGGAAAGACAATCTGGATATGATTCGGATAGACTCCATCCTCAGTCCAAACAGGAAGTTGCTCGACAGCAATTCGAAAATACGAAATTATCCCTTTAACTCATGACTTACTACAGTGTGTCAAGATTCAAACCGACAAATAACAGAAGCACCTCCAACAGGAACACCGTTACTCACCAAAGAACACCAGAAACATTGGTGTGAACTCAAAACTACATGAAAAAGCCAAACAGGCTTTGGGATTCTGAGAAGAATCCAGAATAAACTATGGGCCTTACTGTCTCTCCGTCCTACTGGGCTTTTTTTTAGTGACCCACAGTAAGAATTTGTTGCTTATATGACCATTATTCCACAGATCTGGATGAATGGTGCATTCAAAGACAGCTGGGAATATGACTTTCTAACTCATTGGTGGTAAGAACAAGCACAAAGGCCCATTAAAAGTCAGTTTTCTGTGTCTAGAAATGAAACCCTATGAGTATTACAGAGCTATAGAGCTAATGATGAAAGATTCAGATGTTAAAATGAAAGCAAAGAGCAAAACCCTTCAGCATCAGAGGCTGGCAGAATCCATCTGAACACAGGATTCAGAGACAGCAGCTCCTCCATCATCTGAACACAGCCTTTATTTCAGACAGCATCAAAGCTGTTGTCAAGGAAACTAAGGGCCCCGGGCTGCTAAACGTCACGTCAATCAGAAGCCCATGGAGGGAGTGTCCTCTTCTAAAAATAAGACCTATTGTAAAACTACATGGATTAGATAAGATAAGGGCAGTCAGGCTGTCTATCTACAGAAGACTTATGTATATACTCTGCCAGAACAGATTCCAGGTCAGCACTGACTAATCTCAGCATGTAGTGCCCAATGTCAGATATTAATTGATAGTTTTGTGACATGTGGCTTCTCCAGTTCTGACCAAAATCAGGAAATAGCACCATATCGGTCCAGGTCTCAGGTCTCTACTCTGGCTTCCTGTCACTCAGAGAACAGACTCTAAAAGAGCTCTGCTTGTGTTCAAGTCTTTTTATGGTCTAAAGTCCATCTCTGAGCTGATGAAGCAGCTGGACTCTGAGAACCTCAGGTTCTGGTCTCCTGCTGGTGTCCAGAGTCAGAACCAGTCAAGGAGAGGCTGATTTCAGTTTTCTGCTCCTAAAATCTGGATCAGTATTCCTGGGTCATGCTCTAAAACAACCTGTCTTACTCTGTAATGTTCTGACATGTGGAGTGGAAAAAAACTGTGTTCCTTCTCTCATGACAGATCTAACACTTTTAAGTATTTTGCCTCTTTATATAGTCTTCTATCACACTTCCTAATTGCAAATCAAACTTTATTATCTGAGCCTTTTATCTCTGATGAGAGCTGCATGCTGCCCTAACCCTAACCCTAATCCTCATGAAGAACGCATAGTCCCTGGTTCACCAAACATGCAGCTTGTCAAAAAGAAGCAGAGATATTGAACTATCCACCGTTTAGGGATCTGTTGGATGACGAAAGAAACCCAGACAAACAAGAAAATCCAGTCAGGTGTGTTTTCTAACAGGTCTACCGCTCTGTCTCTGGGTGTCTTTCAAATAAGTCTGTATGCCTAATTCCCATATACTTTGTTGGTCAGAGGCCTGATAACCAAAACAAGTCAATGTGTCATATTTCTCTATATTTCTCTCTGTTTTTGGAATCAAAAGCATATGCAAAAGTCTGCACGTGGCACAGTGGTCCTCGGGTATCTCATCAAAATCCTCCTGGGTGCGCACCTGAACCTCAGACCTTCTCCCAGCAGCACATCTGCTCTCCTGGGGTCCACGCGTCCAGCTGCCGTTCCGTTGAGCCCGTTCCCCCCCCAGCCGCCCACGTGCTTTCCTCCAGCCGCTCCCTTCTTCCTCTGGAGCTCGCGTCTTTTCCTCTCCGTGACGCGAGGCCTCAACGAGGACGAGTCCGCATCGTCTCTGGAACCGGGTCACGAGCCCGGGGTCCATGAGGTAAGCCCAGACCTTCAGCATGTCGGGAGGAGCAAGGCGGTGGAGAAAAACCTGGAAGGTTTTTTTTGCGTAACGAAGCGCCAGGAAGAGCGGGGGCCACGGCGCATCAGGTGCGGCTCCGGGCTCAGGTGAGCAGGGGGCGGGGCTACATCTGGGCTGCAGTGTGTCTGCGCCACCTCTGCACGCGCTACCATCAGTAGTTCTGGGAGGGGTGTCACGGGACAGGTAACCCAATGACACAACTCCGAATCATGGCTGGATGAAATGTGCACCTCTGGGTTAATTTTCATTAGTTCTCCTTTCTATTTTAGTACTGCTATTCTGCAGACACGCTTTTTTTTTTTATCCTGGGTCTTTAAAGCTGTGTTTTAAATGATTTCCATTGTTTTGTGTTTGCCAGGTAAATCAGCTTCACATCATGAACATGACTAATATTTCAGAATGATTTAATTTTTAGGAAGGTTTAGTTACTTGTTTTGGATAATCAATTTTATGGTCTTTTTCCCAGTTTGTCCCAACATTCAGCAAAACAGACCAGTTCCTCAGAGGGGGGGCTGATTCCTGAACCCAGACTTATTCCGAAGGGGGGGTTGCACAGAGCTCTGCTGTGGGGGTCCAGTGGCCCACTACTGAAGTAAAAAAATACAGGTGCAGTTTTTCTCTGACAGGTTGGTTTTATTGATTATTTCCGAGCATATACATTCAAAAATGCTTCCCAAAGGATTTTCAAGATCCAGTAATATATCATTTTGGAGGAATGCTTTAAAAATTACAGTTATCTGGCATAGACAGTCTTTTTAGACACTTTGTTTGATGGTGTGGTGCCTTTGGTTGTGCCAAAAAAGATCACTGAGCCAATCTACTTTTCTCTGGATCCATCTTCATTATCAACCTTAAAAATATTTATCTTTTTAATGCACTTTTTTTTCCAGAGCTGCTTTCTGAATCATTTGGTCCCATGAAGCAGGCATTGGATGGAGGAGCACACCGTTGACCTCAGGTAAGCTCAGCCTGCCTTTGGACCAGAAGAGAAGCTGAGAGCGTCTAATTTTTTAAAGGGAAACCAAACTATAACAAGTTCATTTACAAGAAGCACCACAAACAACCACCTGTTCATATGACATGTCAGTTCAGACTGAATCATCTCCAAGCTGCCATTCTGTTACCGAACCGGATCAAAATGGAAGAAGAGAGACGAAAGTAAATGGTTTCCCACTCGTGTTCCGGGCCAGACATGAGCTGTGGGGGGCGATGAGGGAAGTGACCGACTGCGTTTAGATGCCTGGTATTACACCCCCTCACCCCCCCCCCCCCCCCCCCATCCGTGCGCGAGACCTATACGTAAAACGTAACCGTGCTGTGCGGAGCAGCCCATATACGCATGTCGGGAATCCGAAAAACAACAACACGCACCCTCCCCTCAGCTGGGCTGTGAGGCGCGTGTGCGCGTGTGTGTGCGCGTGTCTGTGGGATGGTGAGCCCTCACCCAGCATTACATCACCACCAGTCCCCACTCTCCGATCTTAATCCGTCCCGGTGGTCGGAGCGAACGGCGGAAATATTCGGAGGCTGCGCGCAAGGGATTATGGAAGCACACCGACGGGATCCGCTGGTGATGGCGTTTCAATAAGGGAGGAGAGAAAGGGGGGGTGTGGGGGGGGAGGAGGAAAGACGTGCGCCGTCATCTGCATCTGTTCACCAGCCTCCCCCCCCTTTTTTTGTTTTTTCGCCCGGAGAATGGGAATGGCGAAAGATGACATGGCGGAGGTGGATTTGCCCCCCGGCGGCGGCGGCGGAGAGGGCGAGGGCGAGGGCTCGGAGCCCCCCCCGGCGTTCCCCTACGAGGAGTACGAGTGCAAGATCTGCTACAATTACTTCGACCTCGACCGCCGCGCTCCCAAGATCCTGGAGTGCCTGCACACGTTCTGCGAGGAGTGCCTGCGCACGCTGCACCTCCGCGAGGAGCGGCCGTGGCGCGTCAGCTGCCCCGTGTGCCGCCACCGGACCCCCGTGCCGGACTACCGGGTCCGCAACCTGCCCAACAACACCAAGGTGACGGAGGACTTCCCGCTCTACATCGACTCGGACCCCCTGCCGCAGGACGCCCTCCCGCCCCACCCGCCCCCGCTGCACCCGGCCCTGGTCGCCCTCCGCCGCGGGGGGGGGGGGGGGGGGCGGTGGCGGTGGCCGGGGTGTCCGGGGTGTCCGGCACCGCCCAGGCCACCCCGTCCACCCCGGTGTCCGCGGCCACCACGCTGTCGCGGGACTCCGCGGCGGCGCGCCGCGACCCTTGCCAGAGCTGCAAGCGCGTGGCGCTGACCACCGGCTGCGTGTGCGTCATCTTCTCCTTCCTGTCCATGCTCGTGCTGCTCTTCATGGGCCTGATCTTCGTGCACAGCCACGGCGTACCGCCGTCGCCGGCGGGGCCCATCTGCCTGTCGGTGGCCAGCATCCTGGCCATGTTCTCCGTGGTGGTCACGTGGCTCATCTGCTGGCTCAAGTACAGGCCGGACCACGACGCGGCGCGCGCGTCCGCCACCAGCACGTCCCGGAGGAACGCCTGACCGGACCGGGCCCAGACTGTCTCTGATGCGGTGTGTGTGTGTGTATGTGTGTTTGTGTGTGTGTGTGTGTGGTGATGTACATAAGAGCCTATATACCCCCAGCTCCCTTTATTTTTCTAGGGATCTATCCTTTCCCAAAATGGCCTTTTACCAGTAAAGCAAACACCCCAACAGGCCACGGTGTTGTCCGGAGCAACAGGCCGACAGGATTCTTGATTATCTCCCCCCCCTTAAAGTTATGCACTTAAAGCTGGAGGGGGGGCGTCTCCACGAGGGGAACTTGACAGTTGAAACCCCCTTGATGCTTTTTTTTCTGTTTGTTTTGGTGGAGTGTGATGAATGAATGTGAAGTGCTTCATCCAGGGCTTTTACCCCCCCACCTCAAACCCCCCCTCTCTATGCTTTTAAATAACAATATGCATCTCCTCTGTATACCACTCACTATACGACTTACTCCTAAACCCCCATGTACTGGACAGATGTTCACATCTGGCCCGTCAGGTGATGGGATTTGTTTTGGATGTGAATTGAGGCTTATTGAGGCTTAGTGTTCATGTGGCATATACCCTCTGTCTTCTCTTCACGATTTATAAGATGCGTCCACGATTTCAAAGGTGTAAATAACTCACAGAGAAGTGCTGATCGGCCTTTCAGCACCTCGTGCTTTAACTTTCCCTCCTTCAGTCACTGTAAATCTGCACAAATGGACACGGAGAGAGGGAGCTCGTGATTTCCAAACCTGTCGTTTGCTACTTCCGTGCATGATTTTGCTGCTCAGAGTTCGCTCATTTCTTTTTCTCCAAACAGAAGGGGACGGCGTGTATGTCTCCTGATCCGTGTGCCTCACCTTAAATCTGACCCAAGAGACCCCCCCCCCCCCCCCCTCTCTGCTCACATCACTTATTGCTCATCAGACATTTTAAAAACAGGGTTTCCAGCATTTAACTCCTTTTTTTAAAAATGAAAATGTCCAATTTTTTTAATTAGATTTAGAGAAAGAGAATTTTACTCCTAGGGTTTTTTCTTACTTCACAACTCTAGTCCACAGGTCTTCACTGATAAGCTGATAAACAGGATGCTAAATGAGACACTGGAGTCTTAAATCACATTGGACGGGGATGTTCAGGTACATGAAATATGAAGCTGGTGCTAAAACGGCGCTGACTCTTTGCAGATGTTGAGTTTTGCTAAACTTAGAAGGCTCATCGGATGTGTTTGCACTATGAAAAATGGACCCGGGTTTGATGCACTTACAAAGAAATCAGCATCCAGCGTTGTATAGAGCGATGGCACTAAACTGGGCAGATGACTCACGTTTCTGTGGTTATTTTTTGCTGATCTAATGTTCACAGAGACATTTCTCAAACCCATGGTCCGGGTGTGTCAGTTCCTCCTCTGTGATTGGTGGATTTGAAGCCCCTTTTTGTCCCGGTGCACCCACACCCCTATTTATCTATTTATCTGACCACTTTCAATCATCCCGCTCAACCTTTTTCCCCCCCAAAAAACCTCGATGCACTTTCGCCCTCTTATTTGACACGAGTAATAGGGTAAATACTGTCTCTGTTTCAGATTAGCTAGAAAAAAAAAAAACTGTTTTTTTTTTTAATGACAATATATGGTTGTTGTTAACGCATAATGTGTATTTGCACAGGAAATGTTCCGTGTGTGTGTGCTGTTTTACATGCATAAAAAACATTTCAGTAATAAAGGAAAACCTGGATACGAAAGGTTGGCCCAGAACTCTGTCTCTGGAGGGGAAACGACCAGGGGTTACAGGCCTTCTCTTACGTAATGACCATAAGAAACCGAGTGGGATCCAACTGGACAGCTTTGACCGCCCCCTGCTGTGCGTCAAACGCGCCCCCTGCTGGACGACAGGAGGTACTGCAGTCCGTGGAGAGCCGTGCGTTTCACCCCCCCTTTAGAACCAACCCCAGTGCATTTCCCGTGGAGGTCCAGTTGTGTAAAACTCTGCTGGCCTGAGCTTGATTAAAAAGCAAACACATTTACCGCTAATATCTTACAAAGCTCCCTTTTAGCCGGGATAAATCCAGCTATTCAGAAACAGGATTTCCGCTGAAAAACAAGCAACAGTGGAGATCAAATCCAAAGCTCGCTATTCACGAAATGATTGCTGCTCCCCTGGATGGATCTTACACCACCGGAAGGTTCCAAATCCAGTATGACACACACCTTGCCCCCTCATAGAATTTCAACGGGACTCTTTTTGGGTAGTTTGGGTTGAACAGGAAAACCTAACGCAGACCTCCATGCGCCTCAGGCCTCTGTGTCCACTTTTATTTTCTTTTTTCTCCCCACACACTAACTTTGAATGAAATTGGACTTGGCTATCCACCCAGGATTTCAGTAAGATATGTTCTAAAACACAAGAAGGCGCGTTTGTGATGCACAGGATTTGAAAACGGGACCTTTTCCAGACATTCAGGGACTCTTTAAGTGTAGTTAATTTACAAAAATCACAGTTTTACATGCAGAAGAACGAATAAATAAGTAGGCTAATTATTTCAATTTGACATAAACTGTTTTCCAAAGCACGCTGGGGTTTGTTTTTTTAAGCCAATAAGCGTTACTGACACACACATTAGGACCAAAGGAAACACAAAGACTGTGAATTTGTGCGTATTAATGACGCACAACACTATAGGATTAAATAAAAACACACCTAGAAATGGAGATAAATTGTACCTCGTTGATTTAATGCTTTGTGTATTTTAGGTTTTAACTTAAAATAACTTATCGTCGAAATCTACAAGTTAGTTTTAAGAATGACATTTTCTTTTTCCTGATTTATGATGTGGCGGAAAATGACTTGATTTGTGTTTGAATGTTGTCCACGCAGCGCATGGGGTGCAGCTAATTTATTTCTCATCAGGAGAGATTTCAGTCTTTGGATTTTGGCCCCGGTAATGGATTGGACACGGAGATTCAGTGTCGCTTTAAAAGAAAAAGGCCGAGGTATGCATCATGCCTCTCTGCTTTCCATTTGCCCCCTTCTGTCCCTCGTTTTAGGATCGATTTCAATAAGATCACCGCAAATTGTCATAATTATTTTCCAGCTCGTGGAGAAATGTTTTTGTGTTATGAACGCATTATTAAAACTCACTCAGTCATTTGATAGCCTGGTCAAATAAAAACCCCATCGGGGCTTTTGATGGGTCCAGAACTGAGCAGCTGATGACAACATTTGTGTTTTTTTTTTTTACTCTATGCAAAATCAGCCAAAACAAGCTCGGGCTTTCTTTTCTCTTTGAAGCCCACTCTGAAGGTGAAACCCTGCAGGATTTCTTCATTTACGCATGATAATGAGAGACCCATAATAACACCCTCTTTAGCAGGTGAAAGACCCCCCTTTGTGCTGCTTATTTTTGAAGCTTTCGACCATTGTCCGCGTGCCACGGTGACTGGAAAGACTAACATTTGAAGTACGTTCTCGCTCACTGCCGATAAAAGGGGGCCTGAGTTAACCGAAGCCTTCTTATCCTGCTGGAGGACTGGGATGGATGGATGGAACCCCCCCCCCCCCCCCACCCCCCCCCCCCCCCTCCAGTCCTTGCAGGACTCAGTTCCTGCTCCTTCCTGCCCGCAGGTGAGCTCACAGGGGACCAGGTGCCCGGGACCTCTGCGTTTGGAGCTCCAGAGGCGGACCCTAATGCCCCCCCCCACACACACACACAGCTCCACAAGCAACACCACATCAGTATCAGAGAACCCTGATCTCTCTTGATCTATTAGCCACCTTGTCCATCTGAAAAATGCCAGGCATTCACATCTCCTCAGCTCTTTCGACGATTGTCCTGTGCGTAAAATCTAAAATAAATTCAACAATATTTTTAATTAAACAGCAAAGCAGCTCGAAAATAAAATGGGAAGGTTGTTTCTTACGTTCCGGGCTGAGAATCTGATTCACTTCTGAAACAGTGATGCCTTCTTATAAAGTGACTGAAGTATTTTGGGGGGTTTCTCAACTCAGGAGCGAGTGATGGAGGCCGAAATGTAGAGGAGGGAAATTCAGGGTTTTAAGAAATGATTTGCTCCAATCAAGTTAGTAGAGGTGAGGATATGTCAGCTGATGTAGATGTGAGGGGGTGTAGGTGGCCTGAAAAAGCCAAAATAAATTTGCTGCCTCGCGCTCCTCGGCACCGTTTGCGTCACATATGAGGCCGCAGAGGTGGAAACAAACGAGAGGTCGTGCGCAATAGGATGCGTAAAATCTCCAAGATGATATCCAGCACAGGTTAGCACACATAGGGGCAACCGGCGCGTGAAGGTGGGCCCGAGGCTCTTCCGTGTCTGGCCTCCAGCGGTTCTCTTCATTAAAGCTGCTCATAAACCGCATTCAGGAGAAATCAGTTGCTAACAGGATTATGGATGGATTAGCTATTTAATGAGTTTATGATTTTAAGGAACAAGCGACAAATAATGTGATTGCGCAGGTGGAGGATCCTTATTTAAATCCGCGTGAGACTTCAGTTAAATAGGACGCATAAGAAGTCGGTTTGAGGCAAATGATCAGAGTTTCTTAATTTTTGGGACCTGGAATGTTGTTCTGGTTTTATTGTGAGAATTATTTTAGGATTGCCGCTGCTTTGAGTGTCTGGTATTTGGTGCAAACCGTCTTCCGGGGGAAAGTTACCAAAGTTGGGATTCATTTTTTGTGACCGGACAGCGTCTCCAAACGCGGTGAACAGAGTTTTACTTCACAGATCCGCTCGTGGAACATGAAAAATCCTCTCTGGATCAGGGCTTCTGATGTTTCCAGACCCAAAATGTTTTCATTCCGGGCCAAACGACGCTCAGAGCTCCTTGTCCCGGCCTGTCCCGTTACTTCTGAAACTGGACGGTCGTTCTGGCCGAAGCCTCAGTTCGGGTTCGAGCTGAGCCTATCCCGCATTCCTGATTGGAGCAAAGTTTTCAGCCTCGGCCAATCACCGCGGCCCCCTGAGTACCTTGTGCGCGTGCTCGACCAATGGGAGCCGGGAGCGCCGACGGGGGGCCGGAGACGAGCTGGGCTTCTTTTGACGCTGCGCTCTCACTTTGGAACCGGGTGTCAACAAACAACAGCAGGAGTCCCGAGGCCTGCCCGGAACAGACAGCCTACCGCTGCCCCAAAACCGAGCCCGGCCCTCCCTCTGACGCCGTTCCTAATCTTGGACCAAACCCCCCCCAGTCCCATCTCGAGGCTTTTGGGGTCGAAAAAAAAAGCCCGGGCGCGGCTCACCGGGAACCGAGGCCAGGTCCAGAAAGTTGCAGCCGGACAGTGGAGGGTCCGGTGGAGGGAGGCATGACGGCTCTGGCGGGGCCGGTACCCAGGATGATGAGACCCACGCTCCCGCAGAACTACCCCCGCAACGGCTTCCCTCTGGAAGGTAAAAAAAAAAAAAAAAAAGACTTTAATTTAAAGTGGGAGCGAAATCCACCGTGTTTGAGCCTTTTTTCTTTTTGTGTGTGTGGCACCTTTTAGGAGTTGTTTATGTGTGTGCTCCTTTTTGAAACGTTTGTCCTCACGGTTCTCGCGTTTTACCGGCCCCGTATATACTCTGCCCCCATCTCCCCCCCCCCCCCCCAGTGTCCACCCCGCTGGGTCAAGGCCGCGTCAACCAGCTCGGAGGGGTCTTCATAAACGGAAGGCCCCTGCCCAACCACATCCGACACAAGATCGTGGAGATGGCGCACCACGGGATCCGGCCGTGCGTCATCTCCCGCCAGCTGCGGGTCTCCCACGGCTGCGTGTCCAAGATCCTGTGCCGGTACCAGGAGACGGGCTCGATCAGACCCGGGGCCATCGGCGGCAGCAAACCCAAGGTACGGGAGCAGAGCCCCCCCCCCGGGGGGGGCAGAAAAAGGCCTGTGGTTTCACTTTAAATACTCACCTGTTGAGCTTCGGCTCAGATTCTTGAATGGTTCTCGCGGTGAGATAAAATAACGGCCCCACTCTTGTGACCCCCCCCCCCCCCTTTGAAGCAGGGAACGACGCCCGACGTAGAGAGGAGAATAGAGGAATACAAGCGGGAAAACCCGGGTATGTTTAGCTGGGAGATTCGGGATAAATTACTGAAGGACGGAATGTGTGACCGCAACAACGCTCCTTCAGGTAAAAAGAGGAAGAAATGAGTGGCTCGCCTCTGGCAGATTTCTGTGATGTCATAACCACTTTATTAGGCTTGATTTTTAGAACGGAGCATTTCTTATTTTGCCATGTTTGGGAAAAATCTATTTATTTCTCGGCAATTAAACTCGATTAAGTCGTAAAAAATGTATTATTCCCTAACGTTAAATGTGTAGCTCCCGTTTAAAATTCGTTAATGTTTGTGTCTGTGCGCCGTAAGACTCTTCTAACTTTTTATTTTTTTACTTTTTTGGTGTGCCCAAATTGTCACAGTGAGCTCCATCAGCCGCATCATGCGGAGTAAGTTTGGGGGGAAAGGCGACGAAGAGGAGGATGACGAAGAAATGGACAAGAAAGAGCTGGAGGACAGCGACCGGAGGGCCAAACACAGCATCGAAGGCATCCTGGGAGACAGAGGTACGTAAACAGGCGGCTTTTTGTGGGAGGGGGTGGGGGACTTTGCGGATCTCGGTCTGTGCGCATTTTTACGCGTGATGGTCCTCCTTTTGTCGGGAAACGATCGGCCCTTCTCCGGGTAAAAAACGTTTCCCCACGAGGCCTTGCCGTAAATCAGACGGCAGGTGATGGATCTGCGTGTGCGGGAAGAGGAGTGTGTGTGTGTGTGTGTGGTGTGGGGGGGGGTTAAAAGCTGTGTGAGCGGATGCGTGGAACAGCGGTTCTGCTTGACGGACATTAGTTCAGCTGACAGCAGATGGACACTCAGATGGTCACTCAAACTCATCGCTGAGCACTCGGTGGGCTCTTTAGTTTGGCCATTACTTGGAAAACTCTTACTCAATACCTCAAGCTGCTGTGGGACACGTGAGAGACATTTACTGTAATAAGTTAGAGCCCCTTTAGATGGCACGTGTTAATAATCGAATTAAAAAAATTGAAAGATGAACTTGTATTTTACGCCACGTTCAAAATGTGCGTCTGCATGGATATTTAGAAGTTTGAAGTTTGAAGTTTTCTCACGTCTAAATATCTTAGCCTGCTTTATTTTTGTAATTGTTTTTTTTTATTTATCGGAGTGGGAACTTTTCACGCGTGGAAGCTCGCTCATTGGACACTATCCAAATGCGTGCCCGTGAGTGGCACACGCCCCGTTTCTCTGTAATAACACGTCACGTGGCCTTTGAGGTCACATGCTCGGCAGGGGAAACAAACTGTGAATATAATGAGGTTGACAATTGACAAACTTTCGTCGCTTAAACGAGCTCTTTCGTCCAGCTATAAAAATGGACTGTTGATCAAATCTGGCTGGACTGACCGAAGCCTGTCTGTGGGCCGAGTTTTTTTTTGTATTTTTTCATTTTCTGATGCGCTGCCATTAGCTCATCTCGTCACACGTGTTGACATTCTAGACACAGACATTGGCCAAATCGACGTTGAGCACTTTCCAAATCCCTTTTTCCAAATATTTGGAGCCGTTTAAGATGGAAATATTCAGCATTTAGCTGGTCCCTGCGTCAGGAGGGGAGGAGGGGAAGGGGGGGAGATGGAGATGGAGGGGCTCTGCTTTTTGGAGACAAAATGTCCCCCTATGAGTTGGTCAAACATTTGTTCAACGGTTTCCATCTCCGCACAAAGACGCACCTCGCGCGCACAACGGGGAAACTCGGGGATGAACTTGGGAGACAAAGGAGCGACAGTCCATTTGAGGCTCACGCTCGGGCTGCGCGCGGACAAAAGGGGCCAGCTTGGAAACAGCTTTGGCTGCTAAAGAGGGCGACCTGTTTAAAATTCAGCCCCATGAAAAAGAAGGGGAGAGGAGAGATCCAGCTAAAAAAAAAAAAAAAAAGCCTGACGGAGCACATTATAAAAGGGATGAATAATTCAGGGATTCTCCGGCCGTTTCGGAGGCCTGATCACCGGATACTTTTTCCCCCTGGTAAATGTTTTCTGTTGGCCTCTAACATTTAGACATGATTCAGGCCTCTGAACGCCGCTTTGGCGTTGGCACAGGCGTCCTATAGCGCGTCGATTTTACACGTGCGCGCATCACGTGAACGCCTCACGGGGAGACAGATTTATCACCTCACGTCAACCTGCTGTAAGAAGGCGTAAAAAATCCTTGTGCTGAACGACACACTCTTTTTGTAACTATCAAAAAAGACGTCCAAAGAACTAAGGTTAAACTTTGCTTTAACGTTTTTTTTCTTTTTCCAAACGTTATTAAATACTGCGTTCTAATTTTTAATGTTGACTCAGAATAGTTATGATGTTCGGAGACTAACTTTTCGCGCACAAAGTGGACTTTTTCTCCCCTCCCTCGGGTCTTGTCAGTAACCACCGGAGGCCCTTTCGGCCTTCGGCCCGTGCTGTCACTCATTCTTTGATGCGCAAAAAATGAAAAATGCTTTATAAATGATGTCGGTCGTTGGCCGTGTCACACCTAATGAGGAGGGGAAGTGTTTTCGGGTGAATGGGGAGCAATGTTCTCCCCGGAGAACGGCAGTCTGGCCCGGAGCGCATGCTCCACAAAAGGGGCGCATGAAGCTCCACCCGTCCCGGCGCTGTGCGCGCTCCCGGGGAAACACTCGCCCCCTGCCTCCACCGCTCTACTCCC